GCTCACTCTTCTCTTTGGCCCGATGGTACGTGTCAATTTCACACAAGCTGCTGCGCGACCGCATTTTGCCCCGCAGCTTCGTGCGATTTCCCCGCGTCTACTCAATCCTGTTTTTTTTTTCTCATTATAAAGTAGGATACATAAAAGTTCAGAATAATGACAATAGTGGCAAACTTGTATCAAGGTAGGTAACATCAAAAGTCAGAAAAAATACAATTGCTTGTTTCAAAAAATAGAAGACTATACTTTCCATTCTAAATCAAGAGGTAAAGCAGAGATCAACAAACTTTTGGCATAAAGGTGCTAACTAAGTATCCAGTATATGTACAACTAGCAAATCAGTTAAATTTTTGCTGCCAATGTCGAGAAATGGTTTACATCCATTCCCTAAACTGCTGCCAAGAGGAGGGTAAGAAATCTTCTGTTGCTAAGAACTCCAATATAGGTTCCCATTTTTCCATTACAGGCTTTTCTATGGGTTTTGGGGTTAATCTATTAAATTCTCAATCCTGTTTTTTGAGGATTGAGTAGATGCGGGGGAAATCGCACAAAGCTGCGGGGCAAAATGCGGCCACGCAGCAGCTTGTGTGAAATTGACACGTACCATCGGGGCAAAAGGGAGGAGTGAGCGCGGAGCAGCGCTTGTGGGAAATCACTCATTGTGAGGTTTATGCCGACCTGGAAGCATTTCTTCCTGGCTAAATGCATTGTGGCCCATTTGTCATTGGGCACCCTTCAACTCAGAGATTGGATGTAGAGACGTTTCTCTTCCTCTTCTGCGAGAGGGGAAACAACTCCAGATGCAGGCAAGAACAGTCAATTGCCCATCCCAAAGGTTTTGCTTCTCGATGAAGAGAATGGAACCGCTAGACTGATTCCCCACAAACAGCTTGCTCTTCTGTTTCCCCCGCTTGCATTGGTCAATTCCACACTATTAGCTGCGCGGCCGCATTTTGATCCACAGCTCCTCCCGATTTCCCCCACGTCTTCTCGACCCTTGTTTTTTTGTTTTGTTTTTTGAGATCGAGAAGACACGGGGGAAATCAGGGGGAGCTGCGGGTCAAAATGCGGCGGTGCAGTGAATAGTGTGAAACTGACCGATGTAAGCGGAGGAAACAGAAAAGCGAGGGTGACACAGCTGCTTGTGGGGAATCGGGCCTAGATTCAAGTCTTAGAGAACCTTAGAGAACAAAAAGACTGACCGGCTATAAGGTTTCGATAGTCAAAACTCAATCATATACGTATCTTGTTGGTCTCTTTAAGGTGCTACTGGGCTTGAATTTAGCTATTCTACTGCAGACCAACATGGCGACGAAGAGAATCAGAAACTGGGCTACTGTCCCCTCCTCAAGCTCAGCCACTAGACCAGGAACCACACTTCTAAAAACTAGATGCATACAAAATGTTGTCATATTTGTCATTTGGTAAAGTAAAGTCACCATCTTTCTTTGGAAAAGGAAAAAGAATAATCTGGGAATGTCCTATATCACAAAATAACATTCTGGACGACGTCTAAAGGGCCTCAGCGGGAGTTCTACTTCTGGAATGGATCTTTCCTACCTCCTCATTTGCACTGTGCCCCCTGCCCCAATCTCCCTGAAAAGCAGCTTATGGGAACTGGGGGGCCCTCCGAAATAGTGTGGGGAGCACTCGGAAGTGGGAATTACCTGACCCCCCCCCCCGGTATTGGTGCCCTTCCGACTGAGAAAGAGGTCTTTGGAGTCAACCTTTTATCGCATTACATTTCTGCTTATGAATGATCACGAAGGGCTGACCACTTGATTCAGCACCAATGTCTATCTTGTACATGTTGGAATTGATCCAGCCACAGTTAAGCTATTTTAAAATTGATTTAAATGTGAGAATGTTAAGCACGTACTTAACATTGGCCACTGATATTAGTGGAATTTACAAGTCACTTCTGTGTGACTAGATCGTTCTCATTTGTTTTCCCAGACATCCCTACGGAATTTGCATTCTGTAAATACCCCACTTTAGTGTGACTTGTGCAAACCAGTTGCAATCACTGTGGGTGTACGGCTAGTGCTGGCGGACACCTGTCCTTTGATTCTGGCTTTTTGTGGGACTTTATCTTCAAGAAACAACTCCTAACATGTAAGAATAGATGACAAATCCTTTGCCAGCTGAGAATTTTAGACATCTGAGGTGACTAAGAGCTCTGGCACGGCCAATTCAAACGGGTTCACAATTATAGAACTCTATGGGAATGACTTGGTATCCACTTTTGATTCAAAGGGGTAAATGGCTCACACAGACTGCTACTACACCCATACATACAGAACTGGCCCATTATCATTTTACAGTTTTTACAACTAACCTGCTGATCCAAATTCTTGTGACCTTCTGCCTCCTCTTAACTGCCAAACTTCTCCGGCAACAGATTATTTAACCATGAAGCAATGGAGATAAGAGTCAGTTAACTAGCAACAGTGAACATGTAGTAAAGCATTAGCTTATATGGGCTCCTGCCACACGATGTTTAGGATACAACGTGTACACTGATATGTGTGAATGCCTATTCCCTTATGAAAAGCAGAATAGAAGAGTGTGGAAAAGGGACCTAAGGAGGGTGTATATTTGGGCTTTTTCCTAATGGCTGACCATGTGAACTGGCCCAAAGTTATTTATGCTTCCTATAAGGATAGTGAATGTCTGAATGAATACTTTAGGTAGGGTTGCCAAATCAGTCTTCACCGGGAGCGGGGGGCTCCCGGCCGGCGTCGGGTGAGTGCGCGCGTGCACGTTACCCGAAAGTGACGTAGGCACGCTTGGGTGAGTTTTCCCTTGTATGGCCGTGGGCCCGCCCCCAGCGTGCCCACGTCACTTCCTAGTGATGCACACGCCAGGGGCGGGGTTCCCCCGGGGCCCAATTCCGCCGCGACGGAAATCGGGCCTCCAAAGCCCTAACTTTGGCAGCCCTAACTTTAGGCCAGGCCTGTCAGTTCACCAGCAAGCTATTATTGCCTACTAAAGGTCTGAAAAACCTAGCAAGGTCAGACTACTGTTTCGGGAACTTTCAGGAAAAACCAACCCATGATGGTGACTCCCTTCTAAAATAAAGTATTCCTCACTAGGGGTCAAATGCATGCCATCTGTTAAAAAAAATCACTCCTTTATTAACACGGACAACAGCTCTTTGGCTCTGAGCAGCCACTCCACACATTTCTGCAATTCTTGGCCAGAATAATCCGAGCAGCCACCATGGGCCTAATCCAGCTCCAGTGAGTCATGGCTCAGGCTGCACCACACGTGGACAAGCCAACAGGGGAGGCGAATGACTGCCATAACGCAACGTTTGCATGGCATCAGGGAAGGGCTGTGGACCACTGGAACAGCCTCTGCTTTGCATGCAGAAGGTCCCAGGCTCAATCCCTGGCATCTCCAGCTAAAAGGACCAGGCAGTAGGTGATCCGAAAGACCTCTACCTAAGACCCTAGAGAGCTGCTGCCAGTCTGAGCGAACAGTATTGTTCTTGATAGACCAACAGTTTGATTTAGTCTAAGGCAGCTTCATATGTGTGACCGCCCAACGATGCATGGATGTGCCCTAGCAGTGCACTTACCTGGGAGTAAGTGTCACTGGGTGGACTTGAGTGGGATTCTGAGTAGACCTGCCTAGGATGGCAAACTGTAAATTTTGTGGAAACTAAGAAGATTCCTCACAACCACCAAGGTCCCACTGCTTTCTTCAGGATTTAGCCACACTTAACTTTAGGTAAACGGAGGTTTCTATCTTTAGCAAATGGCCAGTGCTTTGAGATTTCACAAAACTGACGAAGAGTAGTTCATTCCCCTATGTTCTGGGCTTTGCATTCATCTCCCTTCGGTTACCCTTAGGTTAATCCTAAACTCTTAGACTAAGCACACTTAACACTGGAACTGAGTTCCCCATGGGGACACGAGGGGTCGCTTCACACATTTGTGGTCATCACTTCTCACGTTAACGTCAACTGTTTTTGTATGTCTTAATGAGCTCTCGCAGGTAACACAGATCAGAAGATTTTATCACCTCACCTCAGCTTAAACCCAGTGTTTGGGCATTCAGCCGCCAGTCAACAAATGCTGACCAATCCAGTGACGAACAGGCATGTGTGAACTAGCCCTTATTTTTCCGGCAAATATGGTAAGGGTTAGTGGATTCGGGCTGACGTTGGTCCTCCTATGCACAGGACAGTACATTTTTAAAGGGTCCTTCCTATTCAAAATTAAGTAAATAGATATAAAGAGGGTTATTTCACACTGAAATGGTACTGGTGCCTGTTTTATAGATCCCAAGAACAAAAAAAAATCATTTGTTTTTCTTTAAGGAAAGGCAAACCTTTCAGTGGCCTCTATTAACAAAGGGGTAAATGTGAAAAAACACCACCATCTTTTATTGCATATGTGTGCAGAGGAATCCCTTCATTTTGAAGAGCTCAATTTTGTGATCCCTCCTCTTCCCAGACTGGATATACTGGCTTTGGAGATTGTTAATTGTTCAACAATCAGGTATATGGTGATATTCTGCAAGTGTTTTGATAGTAATTAAAAGGGAGGGAGGAAATAAAGTAAAAGCAGTGGCGGTCATGAGGGCTTGTTCATTTTCAATGTCTGTGACATCTGGTCGCTGTGATAGCAGTAACACATTAGGAGGAAAAAAGTGTGACGGTTCCGAAAAGGTGCACACCATAAATACTTTTTAAAAGGACACGGGATGGAAAACAATGCCCAACCTTGTGGCATTTGGGGGGGCCTTATTTTATCTCCCAGTTGAAGAAGATAACTTTGCCCATGCTGGAAAGCCAACTTCAGATGGGAGGGAGGAAGGGTGGCACAGCGTTTCCTGCTTTTCGTTGTGTGCGGGGCAACACAGAACGCCCCTCTTTTGTGCTAACGCTGTCAAAACGGGATTCAGCCCTGCTGAATTCACTGGAGTTAAAAGAGACCCAGCTCTTGGTTACTTCCATTTTTTTCCCCCACAAGGTAGCATTTTTTCCTCTCTCAGACAAGCATGTGCCTCCGGCGGTGCAACGCCAAGTGATCCGAACGGGAAAAGCTGCGGTCACAGTCTGCGCACTTGAACGGCTTGACTCCCGTGTGCTTGCGGTAGTGCCTCGTCAGTTCGTCTGAACGGGCGAACTTCCATGCGCATCCTTCCCACGTACATTTGTATGGTTTTTCTCCTAGGAGATAGAGAAGGGGGGGGGGACGACAAAAAAGGAACGTCATATTGGATTTGGAGAACTCGGTCTACCTTCTGGAACAGCCGCTCAAGGCAACAGAAAACCACCCACGCGACAAAGCTCCTGAGGACGTACAGCACTCAAGCCCCCTTCGCACCCTGAATGCGTGCACATCCTGCATGTACTAACATCATTTTGAAAGTCTGTGACATCTGGTCTCTGTGGTAGCAGTCATATGTTTGTAAATGTTTGTAAGAAAGAGCCAACATTTGATCTCTTTAAAAAGAAAACTGGGCTCTGATATTTGGATAAATTCATGGCTTAAATCACACACTCAGCTGTATGCCTGTTAAATGATATACAATAATTACTCAATGAACATTCAAAGAAAAATCAAGGATACACTGCACGTGGATTGTGCGTGCCCTCAGTTTTCCCCCGTGCACAAGACTGCAGCTGTCAGAACTCAAGTTTACGTTGGTCCTGGGTTATTTATTTAAAACACCTCTTTCTTCCTTACGGAGCTCAAGGTGGCTTACACCACAAATAAAAGAACAGGACTCCAGAAGCGACTTAAAGCCTAACAAGATCTGTGGCGGGGTCTGTGAGCTTTGCTGAGTCACTGCTCACTTCGTCAAATACTCTCTCACGGACCCGCCATGAGACAGTGAGCGGTGGCTCACGAAAGCTCATCCCCGGCCACAGGTTTTGTCTTTAAGGTGCTACTGGACTCTTGCTGGCATCTGAAGACGTGAGAAGCGGCTCACAACGGCTTCTCCCCGGCCACAGATTTTGTTAGACTTTAAGGTGCTGCTGGACTCTTGCTCTCTTCGACTGCTGCAGACGAACTAACACGGATGTCCGTCTCGATCTATCACCATAAATAAAATTTTGTTGTTCAGTCGCACAGTCGAGTCCGACTCTTTGCGACCCCATGGACCAGCTCCCGCCAGGCCTTCCGGTCTTCCGCCGTCCTCTGAAGTTTGCTCAACTTCATTTTCGTTGCATCTATGACACTGTCTAACCATCTCATCCTTTGCCGTCCCCGTGTTCTTTGACCTTCAATCTTTATAAATAAAATACATTGGGGGGGGGGGGGGAATACAAACCACAAGTTTAATATCACAGATCAGGACTGCTAGTAAACATACCCAAAGCCAGTCCTAAATAATATCATCTTTAACTGCTCATGTCTTCAGACAGCGCTGGCTCTTCGGCTTTGAAACGGAGATGAGCGCCGCAACCCTAGAGTCGGATTCGACTGGCTTTTGAGCAAGGGAAACCTTTACCTTTAAAGGTCAAAAGGGAAGGGACCAGACACACCTCCTAGGGGGAGGCTGTTCCATAATCGTGGGGCTTCCACTGAAAAGCCCCTCTCTCGTGTACTGACCTGACAAGTTTCTTTGATTGATTGGGACAGACAGGAGGGCCTCTCTATATGATCTTAATACCAGGTGAAGGATTTAGCTGATCTACCACTACACAAAGGAAGGGCCTGCAGGGAACCCCGCCGTGTCAGCCCCCCGAGGCCCTTTTTATACCCGTTCTGTGCGAGGCACGACTACCCGGTCTCTAACCAAGTCGCATCAAGGTGCTGGCTGCTCTGAGGAATAAGATTCTTGCCCGGCACCTGCTTTTGTGTCCAACAAAAACTGGGTGCGGCAAAAACAACGAAACAAAAAACAAGTTTCTCTAGGAACAAGGGCTCTTTTTGTAGCAGGAGCTCCTTTGCATATTAGGCACACCCCTAATGTAGCCAATCCTCCAAGAGCTTACAGTAGAAGAAGAAGAGCAGCTCTGTAAGCTCTTGGAGGATTGGCTACATGAAGGGTGTGTCGCCTAATATGCAAAGGAGTTCCTGCTACAAAAAGAGCCCTGAAGGAGAAACAGGGCGATTTCTATCATTAGCATTTCCCAGTTCAGGCCGTGGGATAAACCAGTTGCTTGGGAAGTATATCAGGTTTAGAGACAGAAGCCAAAACGTGAAGCCACCGCAGTATGTGTTAGCAGTGAGGGCAAAGACACTGGCGTGTGTGTGTGTGTACGTGTGAGTTTCCCCCCTGTAATGCCAAATGGGAGCAGATGGTGGAAAGAACTTTATTCATATCTGGAAGGACATGGCGTCGGGTCCAAGGAATTTGGCAGCTGACTGGAGAACGGGCAGATGGCCGGCTGCCACTCCAAAAGGCACTGTCTCTGGCTCTCGCCACAAACAGCTGCCTGGCAATGCCCCACAACTGCACTAACGCTTCACATCTGACTTGGCAGAGACTCATTGCCAGAAATGGACCGGTGGCAAATCCCTGAAAGGGTGTGTGGGTGCGCGCTCCAGTACTTCGATAAGTATCACCGAACAAACAACCCCTGGTAAATTAAAACTTAAAAGATAAAAAACATTTAAAAGTGTAAATGTATTTAGTTGGAATACTTATACATCGCCTCTCCAGACACTTGCTTGAGGCGGCTTGGAAAAAAGACACTACAAAACCATTATAATATACCCATTAAAAACAAAACCACTGAAACACAGCCCGAAGAAACAAAGCCGATAAAACACAACCACAAGAAACAGGCCAATGCCATTAAAACAAGCCAGGGCATAATAGGATTAAATACCCACTGAGCAGCCCAAAACAATGTAAATAAAATGATACCTAGGCCAGAAGAAGAAGAGACTGGATTTATACCCCACCCTTCACTACCCGAAGGAGTCTCAGAGCGGCTTACAAACTCCTTTCCCTTCCCCTCCCCACAACAGACACCCTGTGAGGCAGGTGGGGCTGAGAGAGCTCTTTTGAGAACTGCTCGTGAGAGAACAGCTCTCAAAGAACTTGTAACTGACCCAAGGTCACACCAGCAGTTGCATGTGGCGGAGTGGGGAATCAAACCCGGTTCTCCCAGATTACAGTCCGCGCTCCTAACCACTACACCTAACTGGCTTCTAACCACTACACCAAAGAAGCAGACCATAGAACATTTAAAAGATTATTTTTAAAAACCCTGAGTTAAAGCCTGGCACCTAGAAGGAAGTTAGGGTTGCCAAGTTGTTTCTTCGCCGCAGCGGGGGACTCCCAGGCGGCGACTGGAGCGCGTGCGCGCCACACGCACGTCACCAAGAAGGGACGTTAGGACGCCGGGCACGCTGGGGGCGGGGCCACGACCATTGGTGGGAAAACCATAGAGTTTTCCCTCCGATGGTCGTGGCCCTGCCCCCAGCGTGCCCCGCGTCCTAACGTCACTTCCTGGTGATGCGCACGTCGGGGTGGGGTTCCCCCCGGGGCCCGATCCGCTGGAGGCGGGGAACGGGCCTCTGGGGCGGGGGTTTCTCCGCCCCCTGGGGGGACTTGGCAAGCCTAAAGGAAGTAGAGGAGCTTCCAGGAGCCACCACCCAAAAAAGCCCTGTCTCTGGTTGCCAGCCAGACAATACAATAGAAGTATTCAGGTACCAGGGCCTCAAACCATTTAGTCCTTTCTAGGTAAAAACCAACACTTTTGCTTCTGCCCAGATGCAGCCATGGCAGATGTCTCAGCATGGGGATGATAAATCCCTGTAGCCAGCCTCCGAGAACAGCCTGGCTGCTGCATTTTAGACTGAATGAAATTCTGAATTGTTGTCATAGGCAGCCCCAACGTAGAGCGCATTACAGTAAACTGGACCTCGCTTGTGATCAGAGCACGGATCACTGTGGCCAAATCACCCTTTTCAAGGAAGGACAGCATATCAGCCAAAGATGGTAAAAGATGCTCCTCGCCACCAGTGCTCCCTCTAAGCTGTGGAGTCTTGTGAGCAACAATGCAACTCTGTGAGCTCCTGGCATTAAAGTTGTGAGGGAGAGATTTGGCTGCTGCATAAATCCATTTGCTCTGGAGTCGTCCTTCCTGAGCCATCCTTTGTGAGCTGGAGGCTAAAAAAACTGTGAGCTAGCTCACACTAACTCAGCTTAGCGGGAACACTGCTTGACACAGAGGAAAACCCAATGGTTGGTTTTCATATTGGGAGAATGCCCAGTGCCCACCAAGCCGTTATCAAGCTTGGTGACAGTGGGGAACAGCCTTGCTTTATCACCTACGAAAGAATGTCACCATGACCTACTGGAACAAAATGGCTCCCGTAACTGACAAGAAGAGAAAGTATGGAGATCCAGCCCCCATCTCCTTCCATCTGTCAGTAAATCTAACGGTGGGAAATGAAGGACATCGGAGTGTTTCTCTTGCTCGTCAATCATCCCGTGTGTGTGTGTGTGTGTGTGTGTGTGTGAAGTGCAGTCAAGTTCCACCCACCTTATGGCTACCCCAGCAAGGGGCCTACTGGGCAAGTGAGAAGCAGACGGGTGGTTCGCCACTGCCTTCCTCTGCAGAGTCTTCCTTCTGAGATCTAACAAGACCGGGCTATACCATGCTGTCCCATTAATCGTCCTAGTTAGCTTCAGTCATCAATTGGGATGCTGGAAGGCAGATGGAGGTTTGCGCGAGACTGCCGGTACATTTCCTTTAAGCGTTTCCATCTTATTATCAGCATGTAGCAATCCTGATAGCGCAGGCTTGCCAGGTAGAAGCTTAAGCAGTGTCGGTACTTTGGTCGGGGACCATCACGGAAGACTGGGGCTACTATGCAGGGGAAGCAAATCTGTTGCCTTGAAAAGCCCTTGAGGTGGAACTTCATGGGGTCGCCATGAGTTAGCTGCGACTCGACAGCACACTTGACGTTTATTATCGGCATAACAAGGGATTATCACAAGCGCTCTGCTGGTTCAGGCCAAGGCCAATCCACCCCAGCAGTCCCCTCTGCCAAAACCCAAATGAAGACAGGAAGGCAATGACTCTCCTCAACTGTTTCTCTCCCAGCCACTGGAATTCAGAGAAATGCTGCCTCTGAACATGGAGGTTCTACTTAGCTAACATGGCTGACAGACACTGAAAGCTCTGTCCTCCCTGAATTTGTCTACTCTTCATTCAAAACCAGGTCAGCAGCTGTATCCATATCTAGAGGGAAAGGATTC